CACAGCGACTGACTCCTCCCACCAACCTGAGCGGCTCTGAACAGACAAGAGACAGAGTGAAGCCCCGCCCCTTTACCTGAGCACATGAAGCCCGCCCCCCTTTACCTGAGCAGGTGAGGTTGACAGTGGTTCCAGAGGAGCAGGTGCTTGAGTTGGAGCGGGGACAGTCCATCAGAGCAGACTCATGGCCCTCACAGTGGAACGTCTGCCCCAGAGGAGAGAGCGCCCCCTGGAGGAGAGAAGGAGCCCACAGCCAGCTCCCTGCACAGCACCTCTGCCCCCCGCTGGTCCAAGTCCCCGTCACAGACCCCGGTCCAGGACCCGTCCCAGATCTGCACTGATCCTGAACACAGACCGGACCCCGAGACCAACCGCACCGAGTCTGTGGACACACATGTGACATCATCACTCTGAACCAATAGGACGCACACATGTGTGACATCATCACTCTGAACCAATAAGATGCACACATGTGTGACATCATCACTCTGAACCAATAGGACGCACACAAGTGTGACATCATCACTCTGAACCAATAGGACACACACATGTGTGACATCATCACTCTGAACCAATAGGACGCACACATGTGTGACATCATCACTCTGAACCAATAGGACGCACACATGTGTGACATCATCACTCTGAACCAATAGGACGCACACATGTGTGACATCATCACTCTGAACCAATAGGACGCACACATGTGTGACATCATCACTCTGAACCAATAGGACGCACACATGTGTGCATCATCATGTAGGACGCACACATGTGTGACATCATCACTCTGAACCAATAGGACGCACACACATGTGTGACATCATCACTGTAGTGTGATTTATATCTGTGGTAAATATAATATTAATGTTGTGAGGTGTGTGTGTGTGTGTGTATTTGTGTGTGTGTGTGTTTGAGAGATAAAAAGAGATAAAAATATAAGATCAGACTTTTACCTGAACACTTCACCTCCAGACCCGAGGAAGAGGAAGAGGAAGAGGAAGAGGAGAGGAGGATGAATCAAAGACACATTCTCTCACTGAAGACTTCTTCACACAGTCAGATGAGACCCTCCACACACGACTCTGTGGAAAATCATCTCTCTGTTCTCCATAAACAGCAGAGCCACAGTCCAGGTCTCTGCACACAACAGATGTGTGATCCTGGTCCCAGAATCCATTGGGCTCCACTCGTCTCCACTCTCCTCTGTGTTTCCAGCTCCACAGTCCCATCACAACGACTGACTCCTCCCACCAACCTGAGCGGCTCTGAACAGACAAGAGACAGAGTGAAGCCCCGCCCCTTTACCTGAGCACTGAAGCCCCGCCCCTTTACCTGAGCACTGAAGCCCCGCCCCTTTACCTGAGCAAACACTCTCCTCTCAGTGAGGAGGTTGTGGGTTCGACTCCTGGTCTGTGTGTGTGTGTTGCTGAGAGTTTCTTACCTGTTGAGCTGTTGTTTTTTGCCAGGACCCCTGCACACAGGACCCCTGCACACAGGACCCCTGCACACAGGACCCTGCACATCATGTTACAAACTGTGGTGTGTTGTGTCTTAAAACACAGGGACAGAAGAAGAGAGAAAATACACAAGTAAACACAAGGCACACAACTACACACAAGGTACACAACTAAACACAAGGTACACAATCACACACAAGATACACAACTGAACACTAGGTACACAGCTACACACAAGGTACACAACTAAACACAAGGTACACAATCACACACAAGGTACACAACTGAACACTAGGTACACAGCTACACACAAGGTACACACAAGGTACACACAAAGTACACAACTACACACAAGGTACACACAAGGTACACACAAAGTACACAACTACACACAAGGTACACACACACAAGTACACGATTACACACAAGGTGCACAACTACACACAAGGTACACGATTACACACAAGGTGCACAACTACACACAAGGTACACAACTGAACACAAGGTACACAATTACACATAAGGTACACAATTACACACAAGGTACACAACTACACACAAAATACACAATCACACACAAGGTACACAACTACACACAAGGTACACAACACACACAAGGTACACAATCACACACAATGTACACAACTACACACAAGGTACACAAGGTACACAACTACACACAAGGTACACAACACTACACACAACTACACACAAGGTACACAACTACACACAAGGTACACAACTGAACACAAGGTACACAACTACACACAAGGTACACAACTACACACAAGGTACACACAAGGTACACACAAGGTACACAAAAAGTACACATTACACACAAAGTACACAACTACACACAAGGTACACAATCACACACAAGGTACACAACTACACACAAAGGTACACAACTGAACACAAGGTACACAACTACACACAAGGTACACACAAGGTACACACAAGGTACACAACAAACAAGTACACACAATTACACACAAGGTACACAACTACACACAAGGTACACAATCACACACAAGGTACACAATTACACAAAGTACACAACTACACACAAGGTACACGATTACACAACTGCACACAAGGTATACAACTACACAACAAGGTACACAATTACACACAAGGTACATGATTACGCACAAGGTACACAATTACACACAAGGTACACAACTACACACAAGGTACACAACTAAACACAAACTACACAATTATACACAAGGTCGACAAATAAATTTTGTTTAATTGTGTGAATAATTGTCACTTTATACATAAAACCACCTCGAAACAGCAGATTGTGTGTTTGTTTTTTTGTTGTTGTTGTTGTTTTTTTGTTGTATTTTTTATTTATTTATTTTTTTTAATACATGGCAAATTTAAAATCAAATTAATTCTGTGAAACAGAAGAAGAGCCAGAACTCACCCCAAAACCGGACGCACAGGAACAGCAGCCTGAGGAACATGTCTGAGAACCAGCACTGAACCGGGACTGAACCGGGACTGAACCAGGTCTGAACCGGGACTGAACCGGGACTGAACCGGGACTGAACCAGAAGTGAACCAGGTCTGAGCCTAGTCTGACTCTGGTCTTTGAGCGTTCTGTTTTTAACACGTTTTTATCTGTTGATCGTTTGTGGTTTTTCTCGTAAATCTGAAAATGTGAAATCAGATGTAAAACTTTCCACACACAGCTCATCGACAACCTCACGAATCACGAACGAAAGAGTTTAGACTGAAAAAAAAAAACCTCCTAACGCCAAATTATGAGCTACACTAAATCAAAAAGTGGATGGACATTAATCCATCTAATCAAAAAATTTTCCCAGACACAAAAATATCCAAATCATCCCTTTGAAACAATAAATCATAATTTTTTTGAAATTTTCAGGGACAAATGTGTGAAAAGTGTGTTTTATGATGGTGGAATACTGTGTTGTATCAACCAATGGACACACTCAATATAAGTCTATTTGACCTGTGCTGTGTGTGTGTGTGTGTGTGTGTGTGTGTGTGTGCATGTCTGTGTTTGTGTATGTGTGTGCGTGTGTTTATGTGTGTGTGCTTATATGGGTGTGTGTGTGTGTCTGTGCAGTGTGTTTATGTGTGTGTGTTTGTGTATGTGTGTCTGTAGTGTGTGTGTGTCTGTGCATGTCTGTGTTTGTGTATGTGTGTGCGTGTGTTTATGTGTGTGTGCTTATATGGGGGTGTGTGTGTGTCTGTGCATGTCTGTGTTTGTGTGTGTCTGTGCAGTGTGTTTATGTGTATGTGTGTGTGTGTGTGTGTGTGTTTGTGTGTTGTGTGTTTGTGTGTTGGTGGTGGTTGGAGGGGCTGATGGGGCAGATTGGCATCAATGTTCAACATCATTTGTTTTGATTGTGCATTTTTTGTGTCAGATCTAAATGCTGCTGCTTTGTTTCTACTCAGTCTCTGGTCTGGTCTCCGGTTTGGATTCTGTTCTGGTCTTTGCTCTGGTCTCTGCTCTGGTCTCTGCTCTGGTCTCTGGTCTGGTCTCTGGTCTGGTCTCTGGTCTGGTCACTGGTCTTTGGTCTCTGATCTGGTCTCTGGTCTGGTCTCTGGTCTTTGGTCTGGTCTTTGGTCTGGTCTCTGGTCTGGTCTCTGTTCTGGTCTCTGGTCTGGTCTCTGGTCTCTGGTCTCTGGTCTCTGGTCTCTGGCTCTGGTCTCTGGTCTGGTCTCTGGTCTGGTCTCTGGTCTGGTCTCTGCTCTGGTCTCTGGTCTGGTCTCTGGTCTCTGCCTCTGCTCTGGTCTCTGGTCTCTGCTCTAGTCTCTGTTCTGGTCTCTGGTCTCTGCTCTAGTCTCTGTTCTGGTCTCTGTTCTGGTCTCTGGTCTCTGCTCTGCTCTAGTCTCTGCTCTACCGTTCTTGTCCACATGAGGGCAGTAGTAAGACATGTAATATATTTCAACATGTTTAAAAAGTGCCTCCAGAACACAAAACCTTATACATCCACACACACATACAACAAAAACAAACAACAACAAAAAAACAAAACACTAATACTAATAAATAACACAACATCATTTTTATCATTTTCTAATTAGTTATTCTTAATTTTTCTTATTTTTGACTGGATTAAGATGATCAAAAATATATTTAAATCATCTTATTTTAAAACTAGTCAGGATATCTACAAAGTGGTGGAGTTAAATGACCAAAATTGAACTAGTCATTTCTGTTTTTGTGTCCTTTGGCAAGACACTTTGACTGGCAGCTATGTCTCTGCAAACTCGGTCGTTGTTCGATTGTTTTCGCCCGTAGCGCTGCGTCGTTCTGCGTATTGTGCGTGTTTGTAAACCGGCTCTGATCCGCTGCTGCTGCTGCTGCTGCTGCTGCTGCTGCTGCTGATGCTGTGTGGGAGGCCGTCGCCATGGAGACCAGAGGCTTGTGTCGCCGTGGAGACGCCAGAGAGGAGGAAGAGTGAGTGAAAAGAGCTCTGCATCAGCCCAGAGGTGAGAGGGGGAAAGATAGAGATGAGGAGAGAGGAGGAGAGATGGAGGAGAGAGAGGGATGAGAGA